TACACACAGAACAGGACACATGTCATACTGAAGCAGTCTTATACACACAGAACAGGACACATGTCATACTGAAGCAGTCTTATACACACAGAACAGGACACATGTCATACTGAAGCAGTCTTATACACACAGAACAGGACACATGTCATACTGAAGCAGTCTTATACACACAGAAGAACAGGACACATGTCATACTGAAGCAGTCTTATACACACAGAACAGGACACATGTCATACTGAAGCAGTCTTATACACACAGAACAGGACATATGTCATATACTGAAGCAGTCTTATACACACAGAACAGGACACATGTCATACTGAAGCAGTCTTATACACACAGAACAGGACACATGTCATACTGAAGCAGTCTTATACACACAGAACAGGACACATGTCATACTGAAGCAGTCTTATACACACAGAACAGGACATGTCATACTGAAGCAGTCTTATACACACAGAACAGGACACATGTCATACTGAAGCAGTCTTATACACACAGAACAGGACACATGTCATACTGACACAGTCATACACACAGAACAGCAGTCTTATGACACTTATACACACAGAACAGGACACATGTCATACTGAAGCAGTCTTATACACACAGAACAGGACACATGTCATACTGAAGCAGTCTTATACACACAGAACAGGACACATGTCATACTGAAGCAGTCTTATACACACAGAACAGGACACATGTCATACTGAAGCAGTCTTATACACACAGAACAGGACACATGTCATACTGAAGCAGTCTTATACACACAGAACAGGACACATGTCATACTGAAGCAGTCTTATACACACAGAACAGGACACATGTCATACTGAAGCAGTCTTATACACACAGAACAGGACACATGTCATACTGAAGCAGTCTTATACACACAGAACAGGACACATGTCATACTGAAGCAGTCTTATACACACAGAACAGGACATGTCATACTGAAGGAGTCTTATACACACAGAACAGGACACATGTCATACTGAAGCAGTCTTATACACACAGAACAGGACACATGTCATACTGAAGCAGTCTTATACACACAGAACAGGACATGTCATACTGAAGCAGTCTTATACACACAGAACAGGACATGTTCTCTATTTATACTCGAAAGCGCATGCATTTACAATCCTCCGATTTCACAATTTTGTTAAGACAAATTAAATGGAAAGGAATCCACACGATATATAGATTTCTCCCAGCGTCCAGTTAATCTCCATCTCATGAAGCATATATTATCAACAACTCCACGAACATTGTCCTTGGTTGGCATTAGATAACATGTGCTAACACCACTGCTTATAATCAGTGAACGTGTTCGTAAACAACTGAGTTGCCAGTGGTCAAACGGAGTTCACACAGCTTAATGACGGCTGTGACCTTTTACATTTCAACCTAAAACACCGTCAACACAAGCTCTCGGGTGTTAAACATCGTAATTAACAGTTTGTCATTAGCTGGAAGGACATGTACCCGATCGATTGTGTTTTGTATCGACCGTCAAGCTTTATTACAGAATACCTATGTGTGGGTGTGGGTGTAGGTATGGGGGTGGATGTGGGGAGTGGGGTGGTTCAAAAGTACTGTGTACTTATAGCACTTGGACCCGGGTCCCGTTTCACAAAGCTATCGTAGCGCTACGCGTACGACTGTCGTAAATTTATGTTACAGTATAGGAGGTACGACAGTCGTAGCGCTGCGACAGCTTTGTGAAACGGGGCCCAGATTCCTATATTTGATGGGGGAAGGTTGAGAGCAGATCTCTGTATCACGCGAAAAATCATTACTTCCAACAAAACTGCACATCACGTGTAACACAAAATGTAAGAGTCTCCAGACTGTTTCGAATATTTTGTGGTCAAGAAACACGATGCCAAAGAAAAAAAGGAGTGTTGTTTATACACGTGTACGTAAGTCTATAAATATTGAGGTGAACAGTATGCTAATTATCATTTACCCTGTTAAGAGACGGTTTATGTGGGCGCTCATGCATATCGATATTTCATCATAGTCCCAGAGGGGCGTTGGGGTAGCCTTGTGGTTAAAGAGTTGGCTCGTCACGCCAAAGACAAACGCGTGAAGCTCATTTCTGGTATCCGCTATCGTGATATTGCTGGAATATTGCTAAAAACGGCGGGGAACACCAGAAATGGACAATTGCACCCATGTGGGGAATCAAACCCGGGTCTTCGGCGTAACGAGCGAACGCCTTAACCACTAGGCTACCCCACCTGCCCCGTACTATAGATAAATTCACAACGTTGGTTCATCCATAATAACGGTTTTCAAAGGCAAACAGTTACAATCAGTTTTATCAGTTAGAATCAGTTTGTAAGGATAATTTCAAATATTCAGAATGGATGTGGAAGGTTTGTAAATTGAGGGTGAGAGAATATGTCAAAATGAATGTGCATGTGTGATATAAATATATTATGTTCGGAATTATTACAAAGGACCTACTCTCGGTCCAAGGCAGTTTTTTTCATGGCTGGCTGTATAAAAATACTTAAGCCAGTGACTGTAACCATGTTGGCAGCGTCACAAGGGAATGTTGACATGACACTACGTTACAGGCCTAATTCACTCGCTTCTTTCAATCAACAACGAGATGCTGAGAACAATGAATCTTGCACTAACAGTGAAACATTTAAACATTTTTTGTATCTGAATGACTGACTGAGTTTGGTTTTGCGCCGCTTTTAGCAATATTCCAGCAACATCACGGCGGGGGACACCAGAAATGGGCTTCACACATTGTACCCATGTGGGGATTCGAACCCGGGTCTTCGGCGTGACGAGCCAACGATTTAACCACTAGGCTACCCCACCGCCCCTTTTTTGTAACAATTACAAGTACCTTTCAGATATATAATGGAAGAATTATCAATAAACGACAGAAAGCGCTGACTACAGAAACCTACCTTGTATCAGAATATGCACATCACTGTGTGTTCCCAACAAAAGATCAATACGTTCTCCTTATACAATGGTTTATTTAGAGAATCAATTATTTTCTCGTCAAGGATATTAGATAACATCAATTTGGATTTATTGGGCAATAGGTAATTGCTATTTCCTACTTCCTGCCACGTCCTTAAAACACTGTCGGGCAAAACCGGAAGTAACTGTCAGCCATGTTAATTTTTAATTTTGATAGATTGTTTATCAATTGAAACGAGTAAATATATCCAGGTTTTTTTTATTATGATAGAAATAATGTCACAAAATTGTTTCTTGTGAAAATATACTCCCTCCCCTAGACACCCCCTCCCCCTCTCTCTCTCTCTCTCTCTTGCTTCTTGAGATTGGTGAAGAGAATCAGGTACAAATATGTATGCCCTAAGAGTTGAATTTGACACCGCTTTGAACAGCATCTCAGTAATATACTCATGCCAATAATGGTTGTCACCCCCCCTCCCCCACCCCAACCCCACACCCTCTCAATTAAAAAATTGAAGGGGGTGACAACCATTATTGGCATGAGTATACATTATGTTATTTTAGATGCATATATATAAAGAAAGTGATGAGAATACCGAGCGTACACTAGTACATATATAAGAAGAAGTTTCTGAAATAATCTCGTGTCGTGTCGTGTGATTATTTCAGAAACTTCTTCTTCTATATATATATATCTAATATATATATATATATATATATATACAATAACATAGTGCATCTAAAATAACATAATGTATTTTCACAAGAAACAACAGTTTTTGACATTTTTGGTCAAAAACTGCCTGAATGCATTTAAATTGTTAATTCAAAATATCGAGGTTGCAACAGAAAGTTCGGCATTATGACATCACTATCGTTGAATAACCTAGTTTGGTTACACGACACTCGTTGGATACTTTCAACTGATTACACAACACCTGTTTCAAATAGCCAACATTATCCCATAAAGATATCCAGAACACGTGTGTAATAAATATCTATACAACGAGATTGGGCCCGACGTATGTTGCCTAGTTCAAGTCATATCTGAGACGATGAGATTATCCAGTTTGCCTTCTTGAACGTGTGACATGGTGTCCATGTAATTGTGCATCATAAGCTGTGGGATAATTACATGTACTAGTAAGTGTGCTGGCAGACATACAAAGTGGTGTTCGAAGGATTTCGATCAAACTTTCTAAGTGGAAAGGAATTAATCGCCGTATTTGCAAAAAATGGCTGTGGTACTAAACTGTCGGGGAAAAGAAAGTATACAGGTAGAAATTGTATGCAAAAAAATGCAAATAAGGACGCTACACAGTTGAATTAAACGTTACCGAAAAACAAAAATATAAGGTAAAAACAACTGTGATACTCGTAACAAATATGTTTAAATACCATGAAATAACCATTTCTTTGTTTCATTTTAGTTGACACCAAACATGGGCGTATACTTTCTTTTGTCTGTCAGTTTACATGTGTTTGTAAACCTGGTGATGTGCCAGGCTGAAGGCCTCTGCCAATACGTACATAACTAGTATCAGATGGACCAAAGAATTGTGAATGTGCGTACACATACAGACCAAACTGTAAAAGCAATTCTACCATCAGTAAAGACTGAACACATTACTAATATCCTTCGCTAGCAAAGGAGAAATGGCTAACACACTACACCACACCACTCCACTCAGTATGTATGTATGTATGTATGTGTGTGTGTGTGTGTGTGTGTGTGTGTGTGTGTGTAAGTATATTCTTACTACATTGTTTCAACATGTACATATATAGCTGTCTGTTCCTAACTGTTTCATTCACCTGATGAAGAAGTAAGAATATACTTCGAAACGTCGTGACCCTTCACAATAAAGAAGTTGACATCCATAAAATTCTTGCCTTTATATGAAAGTATGAGTTCACACGTTAAGCTAGTACTATCAACACTACACCGTGCACCTGTTAGCAAAACAACACACACACAGTGACGCACATGTAAGAGATCGAATAATAAAACAATGCAAGTCTTACTCCCACACTCTTACCTTTTTCGAATGACTGTCTTGGGCTTTTGTCTACAACCAATGCACAATGTGAAAAACACATATTCTAGAAATTAAAATAATGTAATGTATGAACTCGTTTCATTCACAATTGCTTTTCCCATTTGTTATTAATTTCATATAGCAGTTGGCTGGAGTAATATTATGATTTTAATATGAAAGTAATATTTAAATGCTCCAAGACAAAATAATATCATGAAAGTTATCATTCATTTATTTTATCCAGAGTATAACTTTTTCATCAACATAATGATGTTTTAACTTGGTAAAATGTAAAGTAATGATATTCCTTTTAATCCATATAGATAATCCTCTATGAAGAATACACAATTTATGATAAATGTTTTCATCTTAATACCACATATATACTATTCATGATAATGATGTTTTCATCTTAATACCACATATATACTGTTCATGATAATGATGTTTTCATCTTATTACCACATATATACTGTTCACCATAATGATATAATCTTATTACCACATATATACTGTTCATGATAATGATGTTTTAATCTTATTACCACATATATATTATTCATGATAATGATGTTTTAATCTTATTACCACATATATACTATTCATGATAATGATGTGTTCATCTTAATACCACATATATACTGTTCATGATAATGATGTTTTAATCTTATTACCACATATATACTGTTCATGATAATGATGTTTTAATCTTATTACCACATATATACTGTTCATGATAATGATGTTTTAATCTTATTACCACATATATATTATTCATGATAATGATGTTTTAATCTTATTACCACATATATACTATTCATGATAATGATGTTTTAATCTTATTACCACATATATATTATTCATGATAATGATGTTTTAATCTTATTACCACATATATACTGTTCATGATAATGGTGGTTTTTTTAATTTTAATTAACGTTTTAATCTTATTGCCACATATATACTATTCATGATAATAATGGTTTAATATTTTACCACATATATAGTATTCATAAGAATGATGTTTTAATATTTTCCCCACATATATACCATTGATAATAATGACGTTTTGATCTTATCACCACATACATCATATTCATGATAATAATGTTTTAATATTTTTACCACATATATACTATTCATGATAGTAATGTTTTAATATTTGTACCACATAGATACTATTCATGATAATAATGTTTTAATATTTATCACATATATAATATTCATGATATTGATGTTTTAATATGTTTACCTCATATATACTATTCATGATAATAATGTCGAAACATTTTTCCCACATATACACTATTCGTGATAGTAATGTCTTAATATTTTTACCACATATATACTATTCATGATAATAAGGTTTTAATATTTTTACCGCATATACACTATTCGTGATAGTAATGTCTTAATATTTTTACCACATATATACTATTCATGATAATAATGTTTTAATAGTTCTACCACATATATACTATTCATAATACTGATGTTTTACTATTTTACCATATATACATTATTCATGACAATGATGTTCTAATCATGTCACCACAGGGCTAAACCTCAAATGCTTATATTTATAACTAGTATGTAACCTTTGGAGCTGCAATATATATCTAGAGCTTTGATTAGGTCTATATGTACTTTGACACGACTGAATTGTTTATGGAATTCAGATTAGGGTAATTTTTTTAAAAGTTACATTCCTGGGCCAGAAAAGAAACTAAAGTGTGACTATTAATCAGGAGTATATTCCCATTGTTGAACATTGTCTCCCTTTCATAAATCATTCAAAACAATATTCTACATTAAACCTGTAAGTAATCAGTATCTTCGTAGAGTGTCTAACATACCCTAGTTAAACCTATAAGTCACGAACGTGAGAGGAGGCACTCAAGCAACACACGCTACAGTAGTGGATTTAATCGATCTGTACTATAAATCTCCTTATCTGATTAACAGGAGCAATAAAGCAAGGACAAGCCTGTGTATATAGGATTTATAGACATTGCCGTAGCATGAAGTCATTCAATAACAACATTATTGGATTTATAAATGTTATGTGTCTCTCATGACCGCGATTTAACCGAGAATCGGAGTTTTGTTTGTTGCTTCACGCCGTACGCAACAATGCACCATGTCAGTGATCGACTCCTGACCAGACAATCCGGTGATTGACATTATGAGCAGAGATCATGTGACGATGGCATGCATGAAACGAGTCGATGAGCCTGACCACCCAATCTGTGTTGGATCCCCTTGTTGGTATCTGTAGCTAAATACGAATATTTAACCGGATCTTCACAGGAAGCGTTGTTTGAGAATATCCTTTACGCGTGGCTATCAACCTAACACACCTGTACCTCAGTCAGGGGCGGTGGGGTAGCCTAGTGGTTAAAGCGTTCGCTCGTCTCGCCGAAGCCCGGTTCGATTCCCAACATGGGCACATTATGTGAAGCCAATTTCTGGTGTGATCTTGCTGGAATATTGCTAAAAGCGGCGTATTACAAAACTCACTCTTCCACTCACTATAAACCCACAGGGTTTCCACAGAACGACTACAACTATACCACGGCGGCATCTGGTTCATCTGATTGCAATGTACTAACCACACAGTACTCTGGTATCCATTTACAATTGAGTGTACAAGGTCTGAGAACGTTGAGACAATAGGGTTGAGTGTATATGGTTGGACGCCTGTCAGAACACATAGGCGGGTCCAGAGGGGGTGGGGGTAGGGTGGGGTGGTGTGCAGGGGCCATTGAAACTCGGGTGAAAATTAAGTGTGCATCCACCATCAAACCCCAGTTTGAACGCCCAGTTATGTCATCAGAGGTTATTTAGGATCCAAATCACAAATATTTGTGACCGTAGAGGCATCTATACATTAGAACATGTTTCGGAGGTACGGTATGTCGTCGAAGGCTGTAAGTCAATGTGCACAGTTGCCTCCCTTATTCGTGCCAGCACCCTGTGATCATGGGTTCGAGACCCAAATCTCAGCTGCTATGTTTCTAGATTTGTCAACAACGTCGTCTTGGTAAACTAAAGTGTTAAACATTTAATACCTGAATCACATCAGAATAAGGCTTGTAAGTCTCGCGAGGCGCTACTTCCGGTACTAAGCTGGTCCCACGCTCCCTTTGCGTGCGCCAACTTGCGATATGCAAGAGGGGGCCCTGCTTACGTCCGGTACCAGATTTCCGGTGACAAGCGCATATTCAACAACCAGTTCTGGTTCCAAATTGCGCGACTGCCAAATATGACTTTATTAGACCGGACCAAGTGTACAACCATGCTTGGCTCTCACGGGTATTGACAGTCGTAATATTTGGCTAATTTGGGGATGGTTAGATTGGAAATTTGTTAGTCCTGTAAGAATTATCGGTTCCTTACTGTCAACTGACAACCAGGACACCATCCGAAAAGGTATGAAACGTTGTTTGTCACCGGAAGTACTAAGGTCTCGCGAAGTGCCCTGACCTTTTACAAAATAAAATACTTTTCAAAAGGACGTTACTCCTAAGTCACACACAACCCACTCGTTTCACTCAACCTTACAGTAGCCTCCAGATGGACGGTGTAGCGAACATTTAATCATCTAAACAAGATCTCCATGACAGTACCCCACACGTGCCCGTCCAACGTCAAAGGATAATAAATTGATTATAACAATCCTCCTAAACATCATTATCCAGCTGCCAAGATTATCCACACGTCTAACATGTTGTCTTTGTGTACAGTTGTCAGGCAAGTAGTACCGGTCCTGATAAAGCCTGGGGGAAGTAGATAACAGTCTATCCCTCTATCACCCCCAGGGTCGTCTTCCAATAAACCCAGCTTCCCTAAATCTCCAAACTTGATTTAAAGTACGAAATCACTTGATGAGTTTAATAACCAGATTTCTGGTAGATCGGAATGAGTGAATGAGTTTAATTTTACGCCACTTTTAGCAATTTTCCAGCAACATAACGGCGGGGGACACCAGAAATGGGCTTCACACATTGTACCCATGTGGGGAATAGAACACGGGTCTTCGGCGTGACGAGCGAACGATTTAAGCACTAGACTACCCCACCGCCCCAGGTAGATTGGATCGCGTTATATACTCAGCAGAAAAAAACCCGGCAGTACGAATTCAAAATTAGATAGGCACTGTAATCAAATCATTACAGAAATGGACATAATAAGCGGATCAAAAACATTATTTGTGTACAATATCTGGACACATCAATGAATAACTCATTGTCCACAATTTCAAGACATTACGTGAACGTTTGCAGTCCATTCAGACTCTTGACTTCAGTATCTAGTGTGACCACCACGAGCGGCAATAACTGCAGCACAGCGTCTATGCATGGAGTTCACCAATCGATTGGTGAAGGCCATTGGCACCTGGAACCACACTCTGAGAAAAGCGTGGCGCAATAAATCGGCTGTGTTCGGCCTTGGTATGACATTATTCAGTCTCCTCTGAATTTCATCCCAAAGATGTTCAATTGGGTTTAAATCAGGATTAAGGGCTGGCCACTGCATAATGTTGACACCGTTCTGCTGTAAGAAGTCTCGTGTAGCTCTGGCAGTATGGGCCCGGGCGTTATCAAGCTGGAAAATGTTGTTCCGGTGACGTGCGAAATATGGTACAACGTGGGGCCTGAGAGCTTGGTCGATGTAGCGCACCGCTGTGATGCTGCGTCCTCTCCCTGGACCAAGGTTCTAGAACACCACAGGACCCACTCTCTGGTTCAGGCCTATTCCACTCTATACCATGATGCTTGCACCTCCCCATGAGTCTCTTTCCATAACACATTGGTCTGAGTAACGCTGGCCACGTTGTCGCCATATTCTTGTTCTGCCATATGCAGTTGATACGCAGTACCGACTCTCATCTGTGAACAGAACAGTTCTCCATTGCCTGTATCGCCGGTTTTGGTGTTGTAGGGCAAACTGTAGACGTTCACGCCGATGACGAGGGGTGAGGATAGGTCCACGGTAAGGTCTACGGCAATGGAGATTCCCGTTGTTACGACGTCGGCGTACTGTATCGGTACTGATTGGTCTTCCGTGTGTTCCCTCTGTCTGGCGTGCTGTTTCGGATGCCTGCATGAAGGGATTCTGTATATGCTGTCGCACAACATGGCGGTCTTGTCGTCTTGTGGTCCCCTTGGTCTGCCAGTACGGGGGCGATCATTTGTTGTGTTGGTGGCCCGGAAACGTTGCTGCAGCCCGTAGATGGTCCGAACGTTGACCTGAAAGTGATTGGCAACGGCTTGTGAAGTGTGGCCAGCTTCAAGTCTTCCTAGCGCCTGGTTCCTCTGAGCTGCCGTGAGTCGCGGCATCCTGCTGACGTTGTAATGTGAATGTTTCAACCAGGTTTGGGGTGCATTTTAAGGGGCTGGTCCTTGTAAACAGCACGTGCAGCAAGAGTTGCATGAACAACATGGAGAACACCGTACCATCTCCGAGATCAGGTTGCATTTTTGATACCATTTCCTGGGTTCCATTCTGAGTTTGGGAAGGAATGTCTTTGCTCAGGTAAAGTTGGAGATGTTGTCAAAAATATACAATCAAAACATTATATGAGTTTACAGTTATCCGTTTCTGCGAACGGAAAGTTCCAAACTGACGTTTCTTTTGCTGCTTAGTATAGTAAGAATGAATGGAACAAACCAGGGCCCCGATCCACGTAGCGTGGCGTCATTCGTAAGCCTATAATAAACTATAGAGTTACGACTGGTCGTAATGTTACGAACGCTTTGTGGATTGGGACCCTGTGTGGAATTGCTGATGTGTATTGGAGCTATGGAGCTAGGGTCTTGATGGTCAGTTGTATTCGATTTCTTATTTTTTAAATATTATTTTTATTACGAGTTGACCTATTCAGGTCAACCATTGTCTAAATGACAGTTAATTCCGGGCGTCGATACTATTTAGCCATGGCATGTCTAGAATTACTTAACCGCCAGTAGTTATATGACGCTAATCCCCATTATATCTCCATCACCGTTATCTTGTACTGTACGGTGACTTAACACGAACACACTGTGTCACTACTCGCTGATTACTGTTATTTATGACGGAATCAGGTGACCTTGGTTATATAAGCCTTGGTGCAGTGACAACGAATGGTTTCAGGTGCACCTGTACCATCTTCATCAGTACCATCATAAAGCAATAAGACCGTGAAGATATGGGTTTTCAGTAACCATGCTTGTCGTTACAGGAGACTAACGGGATCGGGTGGTCAGGCTGTCTGACTTGGTTGACACATGTCATCATATCCCAATTGCGTAGATCGATGCTCATGCTGTTGATCACTGGGTTGTCAGACTCGATAAAGATTCATGACTGTCAGAGAGTGATTTTACTGACGACAGATTCGATAAAGATGGTCGTGCTGTTTGATCTGTGCGTCTATGTGATGGGTGGGGTGGTGGTTTCGGGAAGAAAGTTTGGACCTATCATCATCCGTAGGAACATCAACGGAAAGATCAACTTTCTTCCCGAAACGATAATCAACCCGTGGTGTTACCACACCTCCCCCCAACAGGACCATGGAAACCTCCTACAGCATGGCAGTGCTATACAATACGAAGGTCGATCAAGATTTCTAGTCTAAGCACCACGTCGCGGTCTATGGCAAGTTCGTTCAACAGATTCAACTCTTGTGGGATGATTATTATTTATTATAGGATATTTATATAGCGCACATATCCAGGCAACTAGTACATGCTCAGGGCGCATCTAAGATCATCCTGATCGTACAGAACTGTCAACAGCTGAAAGTCACACTGAGTGACGGTACATGAGACTCAGTCAGAGTGATACATCACCAGGGATAATGTCCATTTTGAGCTATCAATTTCTACCCACAGAGTTACAGAAGAGTTGGGTTCAATGTTTAGGGCCAATATAAAACTAGTTCAGGTATATAAAGACGCTACGGCTGGAGGTGAGCTGATAGCAGGCCTTGGCGTTTAGGTGTTTGAAATGAACGAACATTTATTTGGTATCGAAAAAACACCCTATTACCCAACCCCACCCACACACAGGTTTGAGAAAGGTGGACAGCTGATGGTTCAATAGGTAATGTGTCTTCGTCATGTGAGATTCATTTCGTTCAATTGCTTTGCTAATCGCAATATACCGTTTGTCACTCTTTGTTTTAATCCTTTAATCCATGTTCTAATAAATACGCCCAATTGTAAGGAACTCAAGTGAAACAACGACGCATGTTGAACCTACCTTCCCCGCCGCCCAACTTTACGCTTGTCCGTTATGGGAGGAAGATGTACTTCTTTGAAAGTACAAGACGGGTCCTTCTTGATTGTCCTGGGTTTTCTGTCCAATTTGGCGAAAGCATCGCCCGGAAATCCCATAAGCTTCATACTTTCTGAAGAAGTTTTCACAACTATGTTTCAAATACACGATTACGTCCTGTAGTTAGTGGTATGGATGGTGTATCACTGATCCTTTAGGGTGTCAGGTTAGAACACATCCGTGAAAGTAATGCGTAAAACAAATTTCGCCTTTACACCAACACACTTCAATCTGCGACTTATGCAGACGACGTCAAGGGCAGGTAATAACTTCCGGTTGTCACAAATCCATTCAGAGTGATGTCCCTTTGGGAGTTTGAAATAACGTTCTGTTCACAGTAAACCATTTGTGATGAGTTCAGGTCATTGACAAGGATTTAAATGACGAAACAGGGTACCAGTCAGACAAGCCAATGTCTTCTCGAAAACAGTAGCTGTCGCTGTCTCGGCAGATGATGTATTATCTCGCAATGTCGTCCCAACTCGTAGCAACAACCTACACGATCACTAGACAACTATTCCCTCGGTAACTTAGTGTATCGAGTAAGACATTTCTATATCGCTATTGCTACATAACACGTACATATTGTTTTGCCGAGCTGTTTTATTGTCGATTTCTGCTGCAATGTGTAACAGTATCTATCAATAAATGTCAAGCCAACACTGCGAAGGAAAACCACAATCAAATAGCATACGTCACTATTGCAATCTCGACATTTTCTTTTTAAGTTTGGGTTAATATTAAATGGGTTTGATCAGTTCAATAGCATTTACTTTCCCCGTACCTCACAGAGCTCACACGTCTTCACAAATAGCGTAAACGATTCATTAAAAACATTCCGGTAATCTATGGGTGTTTTTTAATTTTCCTCTTTGTGTTCTAACAAAATTATGCCGCGTTGTTTATTCAGCCCTTCAGTGAACAATGCTGTCAGTGGTCGTGTAAAAATCAAATGAAATGCTAGTGTAGCAACACCGCTGGTTCTACACATTCCCCTTGCAGTGTTTAATCGTAACAACAACTAATCTCCTGATAAATCAACGCTACCTGTCGAGGTTTGACATTTTTGTGAAGTAATGTTCTAAATCACCTGCGGATTGAGAGCTTTATTGTTTTGCTTTGAATAGACTTTGACTTTTGACGCTCAGCTTGTGTTTCTTTTGTAAATTACTCAACACACGGCATCTAATAAAGACGAAGATCGATTGTAAATTACCGCATTGCTGGTGCAGAGTCGATAATCAAACACATGGCACTTCAAGTGCATTATGCTCTGGCGTCGCGTTCGTTTCACAAACAAAGTTTTTCTCACTTACAAAAGAACGTCACAATGACGTTGACGTAAATTCAATTCACTATGTAAATGTCTAACTCTGGCATGACTAAATGCCCAAGTGACTTCCATTTGAAAATGTTTGACTTACCTCAGAAATAATCGCGCATTTTCCGACATTAACATATATCACTTGTTATGTAACTACAGTCTATAAACTTTGCTTTAACCTATTTAAATTGACGTCTTTTATAGTTTGCAAGATTGACAACTTGTAAATTTCAACAAAATCAATTTGTTAACGTCTTTTTGTGCCGCATTTAATTCCAATTGATTTATTACTGTTGTCGATTTCACAGTGTGTGTTCATCCATCCCCAAGCAGACAGGACCTCCCTTAAAGCCGATAATGGTTTATCCTTTAATCTCTAGATCTCTACTTAAAGCCTTTTCTATCGGAATGTGAAGTACTATTGACTTTTAAACTATATCTGTTGACTTTCAAGATATAGATTTCCACGTCACGTTTTACACTTTCAAAGTGCAATCAGTGTCGCTAAGGATATGTGAATTAATTAACACTCCCGTATACAGATTAAGCTGCTTTGATATATACATTGATACGCTGATATATACAAGTGTGCACTTGTAATATAACTCAGATATTTCAAACTTCCGTGTAATTTATGAAACTCATTTCAGCCAAGAAACGATTGATGGTTGTAAATGTCCCAAAATTTCAAGAAGTTCCTCTTCATTTAACGACATATTGTCCGTATATATCGTCGATTGAAATGTACACTTTCCAATTCCATTTAAAATGTCAAGAAATCTCTGAACGCTGGTTTAGTGTTGTGTAGTGGTCCGTCCAAATTCGTTATAAATTCAAGTCCGTTTTTTTCTTTTTCAGTTTCAAACATCCATCACTTTTGAAATTGAACACAACACCAGTAATCAAATCGTGTGACCATTCCAAATTATAATCCATTTCAGATGTCAATTTGACATGAAATCCAAATCCGGAATCAAGTTGAACGAAAACAGAAACACCTCCCCAAACTCGCACCCGTTCTTCAGTAGCGTCAATAACTGAACAAATGTCGATTTCACCGTGTCGATTTCTCCGCCTGTCACATTTCAGTGTCCCGCTTGACAGGTGCTCTTTGCTCGAAGTTGCAACGAACAAACTCTAACAATGATCCGGGTTACCGACAAGGGTACCAATCAATATCAAAATCAATCGATTGCAAATATTGCTTGATCACCCAGCTACTGTTGTCGAACCCTGTATCCCTGCCTAAGCGGATTAACCCTACCACGGTGTAGCATATCCTTCGTTGTCTTGTTTATGATCCTTGGCGTAGATATACAAGTATGTAGGGAGTTTGTAAGAGTCGAGGGACAGTAGGTCACGGGACACCAAGGAAGAAATGCTACCGTCACCACAACACAATGGTTTTAGATACCATCATGAATATTTTCTATACAATGTCATTATTTCCACGTGATAAATTATGGAAAATGAATTTCACATCAAAAGTCAATCAATCTTAATTCATATTCAGTGGTCTTCGTGAGACTGTTCGCTGTTCCTGAAATCAACCACTCTGTAATCCAACCACTCCGTAAACCAACCATTCTGTAAAACAACCATTCTATAAACCAACCATTCTGTAAACCAACCACTATGTAAACTAACCATTCTGTAAACCAACCATTTTATATCCATTCTATAAACCAACCACTCTGTAAACCAACCATTCTGTAAACCAACCATTCTTTGACCAACCACTCTGTAAACCAACCATTCTGTAAACCAATCACTCTGTAAACCAACCATTTTATAACCATTCTATAAACCAACCATTCTGTAAATCAACCACTCTGTAAACCAACCATTCTGTAAACCAACCATTCTTTGCCCAACCACTCTGTAAACCAACCATTCTGTAAACCAATCACTCTGTAAACCAACCATTTTATAACCATTCTATAAACCAACCATTCTGTAAACCAACCATTCTGTAAACCAACTATTCTGTAAACCAACCACTCTGTAAACCAACCATTCTATGAACTAACCACTCTGTAAACCAGCCACTCTGTTTTGGGGTGTGCAGGAATAATTATTCATTGTGCCTAATTGCAGTATTTTACGCCTATATTCGTGATTCTAGGTCCGTTTTGAAACGAAAGCAACAACACTACACTAGGATACATTACATGATAAGTTCTCGTTTCGAGGTGAATGAATGTGGTCGTGTCTACCGTACCTTAACATAAACTTACGAGGGGCGCTGGGATAGCCAAGTGGTTAAAGCGTTCGCTCGTCACGCCGAAGGCCCGGGTTCGATTCTCCACATGGGTATAATGTGTGAGGCCCATTTCTGGTGATATTGCTGAAATACTGCTAAAAGTGGCGTAAAACCATACTCACTCACATAAAAGAATTATCGCTAAAAGATCTTTGTATTACGGGCCCCAGGGTCACATGCACAATGTAAATTTCATAGGACAAAGCTCATTAATTTTAAAAGATTTATCATAAATGTCACAAGGAAAACCCAAAACATGTACACATGTAAAAGATATCAGCTCGTATATCACATTCATTGACAATTAATTTCGAGTTATTGATACAAAATCATAAGGTTAAAACTATGTTATTTGTTAAAGCATATTCATAATTGAGACTCCCCCACAAATATAATGTTTCAAGCTTACCTGTTTCTCTTTTTCAGATCAGGTTTGAATCAACTATGATAACACGCACTGTCTAGAATAAACACAACCCTCGGGTATATGGGTTTATGGCTAGCGGAGATCGAGTGTGGTTTCCTAAAAGCAATTTAAGATGTGTGTTCGTAATGAAAAAACCTACTTGACTGTGCTGAGTGTAAGCGCGCCACCGGTACATTATATGTCTACATTTGATGAGTAGCGCATGACAAATAACGAACATGACATCTGTGATGTGTGCATGTCTTACATAGCGGAGTTTCTATGATGTCAGATGTCCATTAAAGTGACTACGAACAAGTTTGCTTAAAGTCAGTGGTGATTCTTCAAAATGTATTTGTATTCATTAAGAGCACTGGGGTAACATAGTCGTTCGATTCCAGTCATGGGTACAAAGTGCGACGTGATTTTGTTCCCCCTGTATCGTCAATGCCAACAACAATAACAATCATAATTATAATTATGCATGTTTTGTGGCCTGTGTATATTGAATGCACATTATGAATGATTTAAAGAACTGTATTAGATATTGCCACAGGCGGAATAAAAGATTATCACACCATTTAGTGTGATGTAATGCTATAACTCTATGTAAAACCCCTCACGTTCACTCACCGTGCAAGTAGTACAAGTATGGTCCTGGTAATTGAGAGATAAAACCATTTCAAATTAGGAAATATACTCATGCCAATAATGGTTGTCACCCCTTCAAATTTTTTTTATTGGAGAGGGGTGTGGGATCGGTGTTTGGGGGTTGGGGGGGAGGGTGACAACCATTATTGGCATGAGTATATATGGGAATCAGTGTGTTTACATTTAAATATCGTAATTAAAGAGAATATCCACTCGATACAAAACGGTTTAGTTCTACCATATATATCAATGGTAGACTATTGGTTTATCTATATTGTGGTTAAGCTTAAACAATGTTTGTTTTCACATCCTCTATTATCAAGCGTTATTATCATGATAATACCATTGGTTCATTCTTTGCCAAAGCTTCGTTTGGGAGATGACGTGACTTCTCTGTCTCTCTTATGAGTGAGTGAGTTGGGTTTTACGCCGCTTTTAGCAATATTCCAACAATATCACGGTGGGGGCCGTCAGAAATGGGCTTCACACTGTACCCATGTGGGGAATCGATCCTGGGTCTTCGGCATGACGAGCGAACACCTTCACCACTAGGCTACTCCTACCGCCCCGCCTCTCCTCTGAGCAACCCTAAATGAATATCAGTGTAACTTGATTGGCCAGATATTTATAGCGGCGTGTTGCTCGAATCTGACTCATCAACGCATCTTTGTACCTTCTGGAAGGTCCAGGGTACATATCTTTAACAAATCAGGGTAAAACACTCTGTATAATCGAGGATGATCCAGAATGTAAGAAGCCCTTTTCATGTCTCCTGTCTGGTTGCTGGAAACTATAAATCCTTATAAATATGGACAGTAAAACTTCAGCAATCATTGTTTTTAGAGTAAAGTCTTCATAAACACAAACAACTGAATTTCCGATCCATGTTCGATGGTAGCCTAGTGATTAAAGCGTTCGCTCGTCACGTCAAAGACCCGGGTTCGATTCCCCACATGGGTACAATATGTGAAGCCCATTTCTGGTGTCCCCTGCCGTGATATTGCTGGAATATTGCTAAAAGTGGTGTAAAACTAAACTCACTCACTCGCTCAATGTATATGTACCACGGCTCTTAGGTACTTAAGAGTTAACTTTAGCAAGACACATTCCATACTCCTACCTAAGAGGTCCGAGTCTCATGTTATATTGTAGCGTGAATCTACGTATATACATGTAGACAAAACCAAATTACTCGCATATCTGGCTGATATCATCAGTACACTGTATCATGTGTAATGGCTCGGATTATCAACAGGGGGTTCCGTGCACTGCCAACAAAACACCCACAGCACCTGTTTCGGTTCAGAATAATGCCCGACTCCATTGGGGAAGCTGTCATTGTATGAACATAAGCGGCTATTAGGATAAAGCCAGTCCTTGAAATCGGATATAATTAATAGGTCGAGTGATTAACTACGCATGTATGTGTGTGTGTCTGTCTGTCTGTCTGAACATATAAGGATAAAGCTAGTCCTCGAAATTAGATATAAATGAATGAGTTTAGTTTTACGCCGCACTCAGCAATGTTCCAGCTATATGGCGACGGTCTGTAAATAATCGAGTCTGGACCAGACAATCCAGTGATCAACAGC